TTATTTTCAATTAAATTTCGAATACGCTTATTTGTATTATTAATCATTTTATATCTTTTCACAACTTGCAAAATTCTTGTTTTTTATTTAATATGCCTAAAATTTCATCCCGAAACCGGCAAATTAAAAGTATTGACAGTATGTTAGAACTACTTTTAAGTGAATACAATGCCAACTTAAATAAAACTAAAGTTACCGATCAACTTGAAAAGGAAATTGATGAACTCTTTGAATTATTGCAAGTAATAAAGCTAGATTGATACCTTACTTCACGTAAAAAAATGATCAAATCAAATGACTTTTTTCAAACTCTTTTGCTTAATTATAATGATTATAATTTTAAGCAAATTACTAGAGTGAGTAAAGAAACATTCTGGTATATAGAAGGTCTTATTCATAATGATCCTGGGTTTTCAAACAAATCTAAAATTTTACAAAGACCAGTTTGGCAACAATTAGCTGTTACATTGGAATGGTTAGGTTGTAATGGAAATGGTGCTTCTGTTGGAAGATTTGCAAGACAATGGGGCTTAGAAATTGGTACTGTTATTAAATATACAAAACGAGTTATAATAGCTATTAATTCAATAGGTGATAATTATGTTCAATGGCCAAATTCTTTTGAAAGACAACAAATTAGCAATCGAATAGAACAATCATCAGGATTTAAAGGATGTGTTGGATTTTTAGATAGTACTAATATTGTACTCGAATACAAATCTTCAATAGATGGTGAAACATATTATAATAGAAAGAAACGATATGCTTGACAGTGCAATTAGTTTGTGATGATTTAAAATATATTAGATTTGCAAACTTTGGATAGTGTGAGGACGGAAAAACGTGACCTAATAATCGCTGCGCCAACACAAGTTACCCCGGTTTTGATGATCGCTAACTGAAAAAGGAGTTGCCAGCGATATATTGAATATATTGAAGAAATTAAATATATCCCGGATAACTAATATAACGAAGATAATAGATAAAACCAATTTAATAGTTATAGGAGATATAATAGTTTTATTCGTTATAATCAATTTAATAATTTTAATAGATATAAGGGATATAATGATTATAATAAGTACTAAACAAAAGTTTATTATAAATAAAGGCGTTATCGCCCCAAGAAAAATTATGTTTCGTTTGCTTCACTAATAACAAAGTCCCAAAGTTATCAAATACATTGCCCATAACTTTGTACAAAAATACTATTGTGCGAATACGCTTTTTGAACCCTATAGTTATAATTTGTCATTCATTAAGCCCTTGTTCACGTGACCCAGCGTTGCTGAACTAGAGTAACCGAAGCCTTAAATCACCCACTAGCCAAATCTAACACACCTCTTTCGTAAGGTTACCCACCATTGGTTACACAAGAATCTGTATTGTGGAGCGACCGAGTCGCCATTTTCTAGTCTTCACAATAGCTGGGATCAGTTACAGATTCAACAGCATACAAATCTACTCCACTATTTAATAATGCTAATAAGTTCTTTAGTAAAGATGAATATTTACTTGCAGATTGTGGTTATCAACTTACTCCAACTACAATTATTCCTTACAAACAACTATAAGCTAGTATTTCTGAAAAAACTTTTTTTAATGAAATACTTGCTAAAGAACGTGTTAAAATTGAACATGTTAATGGAATTTTAAAGGGAAGATTTGGATGTTTAAATAGTATAAGAACTCAAATTATATCAAAAAAAAATTTAAAATTTGTTTTAGATACTATAAAGGCTACAATTATTCTTTATAATTTAGCATTAAATAATAATGATATTTGGGAGGAAATTTTAATTGAAACTAATTTAAATTTAATAAATTCTGAAAGTTTAATAGATAAAAATTTAAATGAAGCTGAAAAAAAATATGAAAAAATATACAAAATATTGTTCTTCAAAAAAATAATTATTTAAATAAATAGATTTAATTATTTATATATTTTATTTATTTATTATGCTATATATATATATTTATTATTATATAATATACTGTATAATATATTAAATATGTAATTTAATATAATACATATTATAAATTGTTAAAAAAATCAAATATTTCTTTAATTTCTATTAAAGATTTTCCTTGACATATAAGTTCTAATAAAAGATTACTTTGTTGATCTTTTTTACTTTTTGTATTTTCATTTTAGCCTTTTCTTTTTCCCATTTAAGTCTTTTTTCTTCAATATCTAAGGTTTGTTTTAATTCAGATTTTTTTATATTATCATTTCTTTTTCAATAACAATTCGATCTTTTTCAATTGTAAGACTTTGTTGTTTAGTGTTAAAATAAATGTCTTTTGCAGAATTTTTTGCATTTTTATTTTTAGATGATGATGATAAATGTTGCCGTTTTAATGAAATATCTTCAGAAATGTGTTTTTTTTTATTACAATTAGAGCTCAATTCATTTGATTCTTTATTATAATAATAAATATATTTTAATATAAAATAAATAAATAAATTACAATAGTTAATTAAAATTATTATATTTAACAAATTACCAGCTAATAAATCTTCGTCATTATTATTAAAATTATCTTTATACAAATCATTATTATCAGCATAATTATTATTAAAGTTGTTATCATATAAATTATTATTACCGGCAATATCTTTTTAAATAAAATTTATTAATTAAATAAAATAAATTATATAAATATGATAATATTATAATAAAAATTAATATAATTATTACTTGATAAATTATCATCAGATTCATCTTCTAAATTAATATCATCTAAAATAAATAATAATGAAGTTTTTTCATTTTGACTATATATACTATTTAATTCGTCTTCACTTTGTTCTTGATCATTATTGAATTCTATAAATTATAAGTTTATATATTTATTAATAATAACTTAAATTAATTACAAGTATGATTTTTATATTTATCGTTTAAAGCTTTGCTTGCATTATCTTCATCATTTAAAATTTTGCTTGTATTATCTTCATCATTTAATCTGAAATTCTCAAGAAAAGTAGGCTGTACATTTTGCTTTTCACCATAAATAGTATCAATACGGCTATAATATGGGCATAATTCTTCCAACTTAGCTTCTATAGTTGTAATATCTTTTTCATGATCATCTTCAGTTAATCCCCACCCAGATTTATTAACTAGCTTTCGAGTTTCTATATATAGTTTTTTATAAGTAGCCCAATGGCCAGTTGCTGTTTTAGCATTCCATTGGCTATCTTTGCACCGTTTGTTTACAAATAAAGCCATTTGTGTAAATCCTGCATTTTTGGTTACAGGCTTGCCACAAACAGGAGCACTGGTTGCTGCCTTTCCATCAATAATATCACGATTTTTTGGATTTTCTACAAACATAACCATCGCAAGCTTTTGTTCTTTATTGGTTTGTTTAAATGTTCTCTTCGGAGGCATTTTATAATTATTAAATAATTGATTATTTAAAAATAATAGAATAATTTAAAAAGAAATAAAATACTTAAAAGAATTTGAACGAATGTTATTATTAAATAATTAATCGGTTAAAAATAATAAAATAATTTAAAAGAAATAAAATACTTTAAAGAATTTTAACTAAAGTTTTTTTTAATATTATTAAATAATCGATCATTTAAAAATAATAGAATAATTTAAAAATAAATAAATACTTTAAAGAATTTGAATGAAAGTTTTTTTTTTTGTTTACAAAGTAATATACAGTATTGATATCAATATGATAAAAATAATACGTAATAATGACTAAAGATTTTCTGATTTAAAATTTTTCCGATTTCATGAAATGGGGATCTCTAGAACTCCCATTTCATTTTCCGATTTTAAAATTTTGAAACACAAATAAGATTTTTTAAACTCTCATTTGATTTCAAAATGCGCCACTTATTTGTTAACTTTGAAACCCCCTA